AAAAGCATGTGGTATTGACAAAATTTCCAGTAAAATTCTTAAATTAGCATCACCAGTTATTTCTGCTGCACTTACATATATTTTTAATCAAAGTATTACTCTTTGCAGCTTTCCAGATAAATGGAAAGTAGCTAGAGTTTTACCTCTTTATAAAAGTGGTCATCGTAATATTCCTGGTAATTACAGGCCAATATCGATACTACCAGTCATAAGCAAAATCATGGAAAGATTACTGTATGACCAGCTGTATGATTATTTAACTAAAAACGAAATTCTCTCTGATAACCAATTTGGCTTTCGAAAGTTTCACTCTACCGCTACGTCCCTTTTAGATTCAACAAATAGTTGGTACGTTAACATGGATCGAAAAATGTTTAACTTAGTAGTTTTTATAGATCTAAAAAAAGCATTTGACACCGTAGATCACGAAATTCTACTTGAGAAAATGCAAATTTACGGTATTAAGGATAAGGCACATTTGTTGTTGAGATCATATCTTACTGATCGCACCCAAAAATGCCAAGTAAATGGTGTTGTCTCGTCTGAACACAAAGTTAAGTGTGGTGTTCCTCAAGGCTCCATTTTAGGTCCTTTATTTTTCCTAATATACATAAATGATTTATCTGAAAGCCTAAATAGGACAAAGCCAAGACTTTTTGCAGATGACACAAACCTCACTGCTTCCGGTGGTACAATTGATGATGTTGAAAATGCAGTGAACTCTGATTTGGAAAACCTCAGAATGTGGTTAAACGTGAACAAACTGAGTCTAAACATTGCCAAAACTGAATTTATGCTCATAGGATCAAGATCTCTAGTGCATACTGTTTCAGATTCAAATTTAAACATAATGATTGAAAACAGACCAATTAAACAAGTGAAGGAATGCAAGACACTAGGAGTAATAGTTGATCAGCATCTCTCTTGGAAAAGTAACACTGAGAGTATCTGTAAGAAAATCACATCGGCCATTTCTGTTATTAGAAAACTAAAAAAATTTGTTGACCGTGATACACTTGTTTCTATATTTAACGCAATTGTACAACCATACTTTACTTATTGTTGTGAAGTGTGGGACATTTTTGGTGAAACTCAATCACAACGATTACAAAAGCTTCAAAATAGATGCGCTCGAATTATTATGGACATGGGTAACGAAGTTAATGCCCAAATCGCATTAAATTCGTTAGGATGGGAGACACTAAAAGTACAAAGAACTGAAGCTAAGGCAAAATTAATGTTCAAAATTTTGAATATGTCTGGGCCTAAAAGCCTAACAGACCTTTTTACCTACAAGAATGAGAATACGCATTACTGTCTCCGTGACAATGAAACAACACTCGTTTTGCCACAGCCCCGCACAAATAGCATGAAAAAGAGTTTTATGTTTAATGGGGCAAAAATATGGAACTCAGTGCCTAAAGAAATCAGAGGAATCAGGTCCCAGTCTCTATTTGAAAGAAAAATTGCTGCTCATGTTTCTAAATAATATATTTATACATACATAGTTATATATCCTTTATTGTAAATAGTTATCTATATATGTTTTGTTAGTTGTCTATATTGTCAATTTTATCAATTGGAACAGTTAGATTATTTCTATTTTCTTTTATTTGATTTGATTTGATTCCATAAGAGTCATAACAACACTTATATATAATAACTTTTGAACACACGCCCTTCGTGGAAATCAATGTTTTTAATTGACGTAATTAGCGTGTCAAAATAAAATCTATCTATCTATCTATACTTCACATTGCTGGCTGGACCAAGTATTGAACCTTGCGGTACACCAGACGTGACAGGAAGTAGGTCTGACATTGCTCCTAACACTGTAACGCGTTGTTTACGATTTTCTAGATAGAAACGAAACCATCTGAGGAGATTACCTGCAAAACCATAGCCTTTCTGCAGCTTTCGTATTAATACATCATGATCGACCTTGTCGAATGCCTTTGACATATCCATTTAAAACATGTCTATATGTCCTCCACTGTCTAAACACGATCCAACATAGTCAAGAGTGTCGATGATGTTTGATATGCAAGATCTCCCGGCCATGAACCCATGTTGACACATGTTAACTGCATCATACAAACGAGTTTTTATGTTGTTTAGGATACAGCGTTCCAGAACTTTCGATGTAATACATAATAGGGAAATTGGGCGATAGTTTTCAGCATACTCTTTGTCACCTTTCTTGTGCACGGGCACAATATTAGCCAATTTCCATTCATCTGCTATTGTTCCTGAAATAACTGCTTGCAGGGAAGGTGTTATCACATCTGCTGCTTCCCTCAGTAGTCTTGCAGGAATACCATCAGGACCTGTTGCTTTACTTGAATCAAGTGATCTCAACACATAAGAAACTTCGGCTTCACTAAATGTTAAATCAGTCATGATTGGCTCGTCAGACTCAATGACGTCTTCCTCGTTAGCTTTCTTTGTTGAAAATACTGACGCAAAGTAGTGGTTGAACATGTTTGCTATACCATCTGGATTATCGGCCGCCGTTCGTTGTGCTGTATTTGCACCAGGTGTGTTGACGTTGTTTGCGGATGAAATAATGTCAGGGATGTTTCTTGTCTTTGAGCTTCTTTTCAATACCGACCAGAAACGCTTTGGATTTTGTTTAATGTCAGTTCCTAAATTGTTGAAAAACTTTTCCCGACTTTTCCGCAACATATGCTTGACTTCAGATCGCAAGGTTTTGAATTGCTGCTGTAGTCGAAAATTGTTTGGAGAAGCCTTAAGTTTTTGCCGAGCTGAGTCTTTCTTTCTTATGGCGTTAAGAATAGTACCATTAACCCATGGAGCTGGATTGCGTCCTTTGATCTTTTTCATCGGTATATAATGTGAAACGGCTGTTAAAAACGCACCTTTCCATTGTTGCCAGGCGATGTTGATATCTATGGCATGTTCAACGAGAGACGTCAGATTGATTGCGTTCAATGCACGTCGCAGTCCTTCAAAGTCACCAGCGTTGTAGTTATAGACATACCTCCCAGCTTTTGGTTTTGCTTTAATATTCTCAGAAAACTCGTAAAGGACTGTTGAGTGATCCGTCATTATTTCAGTTGTCTCTGGGGCAAGTACTTCAGACACAGTGACTGATTCTGGAACAGTTGTGATAACAAGATCTAGAATTTTGTTGGCACAAATAGGGATGGTGTTTACTTGAGTGATATAGTGGTCATCAAGTATGTCAACAAAGTTCGCTTCGTTCGCACCAGATGCATTCAATGTTGCATCCCACGAGATGTTGGGTAGATTAAAATCACCGGATATCACTACGTTTTTAAACTGATCGCAAACTTGATCCAGGAATGTGTTGAGTGTGCTTGTCCAAGTTCGTTCAGTGTCAGGTGGTCTGTAGCAAGAAGAGAAGAGGATATTTTGGTTTGAAGCAGTTTTCACTATTGCTGAAACAATCTCTAATTCTTTTATGTCATCCAGGTTTGAAACGAATTCCTTAACCGAGCTAAACGAACTTGATTTGATTGCAACCAAGACCCCGCCGCCATTTCGTCCAACTCTGTCTTTCCTGAAGATGTTATAGTCAGAATTTAAGATCTCAGAGTTACTTATGTTTTCGTTGAGCCATGTCTCATTTACACATACGACATCCAAATTTTCTCCGTAAACGAAGTCTTGAAATCTTTGAAGATTGCAGATGATCGAATTAGTGGTGACATGTTTATGGATGCTTTTCAAACTTCTGGCGTTTATTGTGGCACATTTGATGGGAAGTTGAGCTCATTGAACTAATTGAGAAAATAAACGACTAAATTTCCCCGAAGCCAACACAATATTTGCAGGGGGATAGAAAGCACCGAAAATTTGAGTATGTATACCATACGTCGTATATGGCAACTTTCCATCAAGAAAGGGCAACTTTTCCACTGTTTTACATAGGAATAGGGCAGTGGCGAAGCTAGAGATAGCAACAGGTCATGCTATGCAATTTTTTATACAACCAGCCCCAGGTTGTTGGGGATGTCGCATCCACAGTAATTATCCCGTTTAATTATTTCATGATTGAAGTTTAGCAACGGACTCGTGGAGTAAAGGAACACCGAATGGTTTTCCGTGCACGATTGTGTGATCCACGCACGAGGGATGTCGCGAGACTTTCGGAAAGCGTAAAAATACTCGAGCCGCAGGGGAGTGTATTTTTACGCTTTCCGAAAGTCGACATTTCGACATCAGGAATGACCCTGATGACGACTGTAAGCGGAGTTTGTATTTTTTATAATATTATTGGTTCTTCATCTTTTCTCTTTTGCTCTGAATAGGTTAGGAGAAAGAACTTAATCCCGCGCATCTGCAAAAACAAAGCGTCTGTCGCAGGTTCACTGTGAATGGTTTAGTTATGAGTTTTAAAAAAAATAAAAACTAGGCTAGAGGTTTGTTTCAAAATATTCACCTTCAACAGGGACAAAAGATAGCTGCTCAGGTTGTTGTGAAAGCACAGGATCTAAAGACGAAAACAGAACAAGAATAATATTGTAATAAATTAAGCTAATTAAAGGAATTAGCGACTAAATTTCACCGCAGGGAAAAGAGTATTTGCAGAGGCGTATGAAACACTGAAAATTTGAATATATAAGCACTACGATGTGAGGGCAACTTTCCATTAGGACAGGGCAGTATTTCCACTGTTTTATATACCTGGAAATAAAAACAATTGCGGCTAAACTTCGGATAAGGCATGTGTATCCTATTACCCCGCCCACGTTGTTAAGAATACCAATGAATATTTGTGAACGCTCAATGGCATACTCGTCGAAAAATTTTAAAACCCCGAAAATTTACAGCCTATTTCCAATAGTAAATGTATTACACTCTGCGCAAAGCAAGTGAATTCAGGAACAATTACTTAATTAGGACAAGTTGTAGAAATACCTCAACTAACAATGCTTCCTGAAAATATAACATTCACCGGAGAATATTGACGCGAATATTTCACGTTATCTTTCTAAGGAAAAATACCACGGGGAACCAACAGCAGTGGCGATGCTAGAGATAGCAACAGGTCATGCTATGCAATTTTTATTGATTTACGGTATTCAAACATTTAAAAATGTATTGTCTTTAAGCTGTTTAAATGCAGGTTTCTTAGCATAAGCATGACCACTTGCCATGGGCAGCGTAAGGTTGTAAGTTTCCTTACTTATAGTTCACCAAATGTTGGTTCACGAAGAAATGATATTCACGAATATTTCACATTATTTTGCAAGGAAAATACGCCAGGAAACTAAAATTGTAAGATGGGGAAGGGTGTAGTAAGGTTTATACGAGAGTTCAATAGGATTTGTAATAACAGTTGAAAGTTCATTTTAACATGCAGTTCTAAAGTTATATTATACCATGCTGTTGGGAATGACACATTCACAGTAATTGTCCCGTTTAATTATTTCATGACTGAAGTTTACAAAAAGACACGCTGCATGAGTATACATTCCTGTATGCAAAACTTGAAAAAGTAAAGAGAAGATTATTGGTTCTTCAAATTTTCTCTTTTGCTCTGAATTCAAGCGATATGCAAGCTCATAGATCGGCAACTTTCCGTTATCAGCAAATAACGATAGGTTGCCAATAAGAATGTGTTTCCGCATGTGTAAAAACAAAGTGGCTGTCGCTGTCTCACACTGTGAATGGCTTTTTTAAACCAATTTGTTTTATACCAATTTCTTACTTACCAATTTCTTACATGGCCTGAATTTGAAGAAAACAAAAAATTGCCTACAGGTTTTGTTATAAAAATATTTACCTCCCATATTAGCTAAATCTAGGTGCCCAGCTTGTTGTGAAACCACAGCCGTTGAACCTAAAAACAGAACAAGACTTAGTATCATATTGTAATATCATTGAGCTAATTGAGGATATTAGTGACTAAATTTCCCCGCAGCCAACACAATATTTGCAGGGGCAGAGGAAGCATGACTAATAACAACTTTCCATCAAGAAAGGGCAACTTTTCCACTGTTTTACCTGGGAATAGGAGAGTGGCGATGCTAGAGATAGCAACAGGTCATGCTATGCAAATTTTTAACTCATTTGCGTCATTCAAACATTTAAAAATGTATTGTTACCTCCGCCAGGAGGTTATGTAATCATCTGGGTTTGTGTGTGTGTGTTTGTCTATGAGCACGATAACTCAACAAATACCAAACATATTCATACGAAAATTTTTGAATGCATTTTCCATCGGCTAAGGAAGATCTGATTAAAATTTGGTTAAAAATTGAACGAGAAATGAACAAAATTTTGTCTTGCTTTTCCCGATCAATTAAAAAAAAACTGACTGAATGCGTAATTAGGACGTGTATAATGTCTGCACGCAGTACTAAGACAATAATGAGATGATAAAGCTCATCAAGCTTCAGCCTTCATTATCTATAGTCTTAGTTGCATTTCACACGACCGAAATTCAATGGGGGCGGAGGTATGCAGTCTCTGAGTGCCCTGTAGTCTTTAAGCTGTTTCAATGCAGGTTTCTTAGCATAAGCATGACCACTTGCCATGGGTAGCGTAAGGTTGTAAGTTTGTTTATTCAGTTCACCATGCACCTCCCTCCCCGCCTCGCTAAAATGTTGGTTCACGAAGAAATGATATTCACGAATATTTCACATTATTTTCCAAGTAAAAATACGCGAGGAAACTAAAATTGTAAAGTGGGGAAAGGAAAAGTATAGGGTTTAAACGAGAGTTCTACAGCATTTGCATGCAATAACAGTTAAAAGTTCATTTTGACAGTTTTAAAGTTATATAGATATTATAACGATGCTATAGTCAGGGCAACAGGTCATGCTATGCGATTTTTTAATAATCTGCGTTATTCAAACATTTAATAATGTGTTATCTTTAAGTTGTTTAAATGCAGTTTTGTTAGTATGAGCACTTGCCATGGCGTAGGAAACTTGTCATCGATATGGGACGTAGGAAACACTATATATTTTGCAATTGACAAGCACTACGTCTGGAGCGCACATTTTTGTTGCATGCCACATGGCATGCAACTATCATATAGGTTGAAATTCGTGTCCGTTGGTGAAACTTGCGGGAAATCTCGTAAAACGCGAGGTAATACGTCAAATAACGAGTTATACCGACGAGCATTTACGAGCATAATAACATAAATAAGCATAAATGCATAATTATAAATTTTGAATCATGTGCACGTTTTCGTCCATGGTTTTCGTCGAGGAAAGGCAAAGAAAATGTTGACTGTTCGCCTAAAAATTACATAATCGAGCGCCTTAGAAAAACAGATCGGGGTAGGTAAAGCTTTTCTGTTTTTAATTTACCTTATATTCTGTATTTGTTCTAATTTTGGAGACGTTTTGCTCGCAATGATTATGTATCAGGCGTTTATTTATAGCGTGAAAGGCTACGCTATCAAAATACTCAATTTTATATTCAAACTGAAAAGGAGCCATTGTGCTCGCACTGATTATATTGTGCGGGCAAAACTTCAAAACTACAGTACATTTTGTAAATAACATGAAATATAAATATCAAGCTAAATTCTCATTAATACTATTGAAATTTAATACAACGAAATAGCAATCTACTTCGATAATTTCAATCATAGTTTAATATTACTTGTTTTCAATCTATTATAGTAATTCACTGTTTCCACGGGTTTTCATACCTTCAAAAAGTTACAATAAAGCTAAATTTGTAGGGAGTAACATTTATTTATTATAAATTTGTAAAGGAAATCTTACAGTCAATCGCTTTCGATAAAACCTTGACCTTGTTATTACTGTCGCTTGCAACTAACGATGAACGGTCCCTCCTAAAAACATTGCCCGTATTCCCGTGAGAATCTTAAGTTTTCTTAATTTGACATAAAGCTATTTCTTAATAAATATATTGATGTTAAACTTATTGAATCAATATTTTAAGTTTCAGGCCAGCTGTACCAAACATTAAAAGCGCTAGCGCATCATAAGATTTCAGATGGCATGCAACATGTACGCACTGTGTACCTATTTTTACCGTTTCATTGCTGCCGAAGGCAGCACACTATTCTTGACGATTTGTTTTTCTCGCACCAGTCCGTTTCCGGCCGAGTTATGTATAGCCGAACGACATCTCGATTTTGGAGGTGTACGGATGGATGATCAGATTTATGACGTATTTGACGTCACAGAAACTTTACTGTAAAAAATAACATACTCCAGATCGCGATTTGACTTTCCGAATATCCCGATTGAACCTCGCGAACACCACCATGGACAATGACAATTTGTAAACACGTTACATGTACGCATAGTGGCCTCTGCATAATGGCATAGTCTCATTGCAAATGGACTCTGAGTCTCTGACTGTTAGATAAAATGCTTTTCAAGGTAAGATGAAAGTTTGATCACAAATAACAATGTGTTTTGGTCGATACGCGTTGAAACTTGAAGCGAAGGAATTATCTGTATTTAAATTATTACATATTTAGGTGCATACAAGTCTTCATAGTAAACAAGTGGACTTCGTCACTTCGTCGATATTTTATATCAGTTTGTAAAAAATCTGATTGAGCTTGATCGTACGCTTGATGGAACATCGTACTTCTAAGGGATAAATAATCACACAGAGAGTTTATTATTATGTTTGCAATGTTACTCTGAGTGCATATCCACACCGGGCGAGCTTGAAAAATATGCCCGGTGTCACAGGAGATTCGCCCCCCAGGAGATTCGCCCCCCTCTCAAAAGGGGGGCGATATTCCTAGGATATTCGCCCCCCCCCCGGGGCGAATCTCCTAAGTAGTATAGGAACTGCCGTAGCGAGACCACTAGTTTCGGAACGAGACCACGTTTTTTCGGCTTCGCCGAAAAAATGGTCTCGCTCCGGAACCAGTGATCTCACTACTGCAGTCCCTGTACTACACCGAATTTAGTTTCTTAATTAAGTGTTGTCCTTCTTGGGTGTAGGTACATCGGATCTGCTATTCTAGAGCCTCTTCGACAACTTTTATTTTCTCCTTGGGGGTACATAAGGCAGGGGGCCCTTCCTGCTTATTTACCCTTTAGGATTATTACTTTCTACTCTGTGGGAACTTCTCAGTCACTATTTTTTATATTCTTGTTACCATAAGCATAACTGGTAACTCCATCCTCCAAAAGATACCTTTTATCATCAAAGCAGCTCAGAGTAACCTTCCTCATTTCATAAGTTCCGATTGTATGCTTCGTGCTCCTGATTGTATTCATGTTGTGTCTCATCCTACCCTTCGTGTTGATTACATTCTTGAAGTTCTCATGAGTGAGCTTGTTTCTGATGACATACTTCTTAACCCCTTTAGCTGTCATTCCACCCCCACCGTTTTCCTTGACATAGGAGTACATTTTTTACCTCAACCCAACAAACTCAATTATGGGTACTCCTCCAGCTTCATCCTTGAACTTACCTATAACCTTCTTGTTATGTGTTGAGTAGTAAGGGCTGTCTTTTGGGTAATCTGAATTATCTCTTCGCCGATCCTCCTGATGTCCTCATAGACGTAATCCGTCTTCAGTTCGTACATCAGACTGTCAGTATCGGTGAACAGTAACCTCGAACTATTACCGTACTCCTTTTTAATGGTGTTGTAGTGGAAGTCGTACATTAAAGTCTTGGATAAATCTAAGATGCTCATTCCCACGTAACACGGCTTATTCAGCGTTAGCACTTCTTTCATCCTCTTTACCACTATAAGATTCTCATTCATGATTCGATGTGACTGGAAGCAAGGTGATGCTGTCAGTTTTAGGAGGTCGTCTTTGGAGGACACTAATTTCACATCAACCCTTTTCCTAAGATTCTCCATAGTCTTTCCGTAGATTGAGTTGTTCATCAACTTGAAGAAGTTCTTTTCGAATGTATTACGGGCTGCAGACCTTTTCTTTGTATTGAAGTCTATATAGTCCTTAAGCCAGGGAGACTGCTTGAATGTAACCGCTCTATGGACCTTCGTGAGTTTCATCCCAAGGTCTGTGTACAGTTTCAGATTACGTACATGTAAGACGTACTTCTTCCTGGGACCTAATGAAGTCACAAGTTTTCTTACTCCTCCGATTGTCAGTTGGAATTTCTCAGCAATACTCTTCGCATAATCTGACAACATAGAAGCACTGATTTCCTTACTCTCCGGTGCTAGAGGATAACCGTTATGTAGGTCGTGAAGTTCTTGTGGATATTCCAGGTCAACCTCCAAAACCATTCCCCTCCCGTTGTCTCCCAAGTAATCCTCTAGATTCATACCGTCAAATTCCTTAACCCACTCGAACTCTCCATTAGGTAGTGGTTGTGACATTGCCCAGCCATATAAATTATTAGCGTCGAGGTACATTAGGTACTTGTTCTCAGACGACTCATCGTACGTCTCCATCAACCTCGTTCCCAGGCTCTTTGCTCTTGGGAAGCAAAGACCCTGGTCGGGGCTGATGACGTCACACATAGAAAATTGATAGCCGAAGGGGGGATGGAAAAGTCTCATATTACATGTTTCCACTTCCGCACTTCGATTGCAAGGAGTGGCCGTTCTGTACAATCATCTAATTCATCTTCGAGAATCATATATACCTCAAACTACTTGCTAAATTGGTTTCTGTTTGCTTTTAAATTATACAAACATGCTAAAATGCAGATTCTTATAGCAACAGAAAATTCAGGAAATCAAGCAACGAGAACGTATGACTGTACGCTTTGAAATATTTTTATTTTCTCGGAGTTCGCCGGTTCGGGCGTATATAGTTTCATTTCACACGTACGTTTCTGTTCTGGCTCTGATATTTACAATATGCTTATAATATGCCAATGAATTGTTCTGATATGGACAGATGTCTCAAAAGCGACTGTTTATAGGTCATAGGATTAGCGCCTTGCCGGTCTTAAACGTGACACATTTGGACACAAGCCAAATACACATTGAATGTCCATTTTATTGATTCTAAAACTGTTTATAGACATATTGCTCTAGAATTTTTTTAAAAGGTTATCATCGTTTATGTTAAACACCGGGAAGACAAAATATAACGTACAAAATTGTTTGAAATCGACAGTGCACAGCTGACATACGACAATTCACAACTGCATGAATTTCCTTTTTTGTCTGCACGAGTACCTGTTTGTTGAAGCCAAAATATTGCACAGCATCTCCTATAAATTCTATCGCGATTTACCCTCTCCCCTTAAATGCAAGGGAATGACAGAAAAGGTTTAGCAAAGTATTTTTTATTACATCTGGTATAAAGCGTCCTACGTTTTATCAGGATATACATAATTCATAAACTGTATATGCACACGAAGTCTCGCTTATATTAATGAGTTTTACTGTAACAAACCTTTTAAAGTTTCCATGGATAGATAGGTTGTTTGCCTCCAGTATTGTTTGGTAAAACAGACTAAACTTCTAAAATATTGGTTACGGAATACGATAAAGATTAAAGTTGATTTAAATATTGATATTAACTCACAGCGGCATTAATCCATTATACAAGTCTAAAGAAGCTGGATTATTCTTCAATAAAGCCCTCAATGGACAATGCCAATGAAAGGTCTAATATTATACATGTTGCAAATTACTATATACACAAAATATGAAATAATTTACATAAAGTACAATACCAGTGTCTGGTGCATATATCGTCGTAGATATTCAAGTTGTACCGCACGCACGGAAACGCACGGAGGAGTCTTGGCGTTTGTGTGATAACAGATAGCTAGCTACACTTCGACATTATCTTTCTTGATCGTTGAGTTTCAGCAATGTAAATGAAATGAATCCTGTGCTTTTACAGTCAAAATAGCACTATTGTTTACACATGTTGGCGATGTTTGGGAAATCAAAGGATCCCGTTATAAAATAAATCTTTTGTTTTGAATATCGGACAGGATACACTTCAACTATAAAGAACCATATCGTTCGTTTAATACCGTTTGATCGATCAGTCTGTGTAGAAGATATGTATGTTTCTACGGCGATACGTGCTAAACTTCGCAAGCCAGGTGCGTGTGGAGTGTTTTCCTTGCAAGTGAAATATGATCCAGCTTCTCGCTTGAAATGTAACGCAACACTTATTGTTGATGACATTCAGTATAGCAGGAAGTCTTTGTCATGATCAGTACGAATCTAGAAAGTTCCTTTCACAATCTCTTGTTGCAAATTACATTTTTATCACCCGAAATTATAACACATAAAGTTGCAATTTTCCAAACGCAACAAACACGCTCCTCTACCTCCCGACCCACAGTCAAATTATACGTTTACCCCCAGAATCTGGGTGTGACGTCATCAGCCCCGACCAGGGTCTTTGCTTCCCAAGAGCAAAGAACCTGGGAACGAGGTTGCGTCTCCATGTACTTATTATTAGCTGCTGAGTGTCTATGAGCAATATAACTTGTACCACCTCTCATACCCTTCTCGAAGAACTGAAACATATCCATATCGCTTACGAGTTCTATTTCTTCACCTGACTTTTTCAGGAAAGCGTCCCAACTCAGACTAGGTGCTGACACGTAATGTGCGGGGTCAAGTTCATAACTTTCCAGACATGTTCTCCTGAAGTTCTCAAACACATCAGCCAGCAGAAGAACGTCAGTCTCCAAGTAGAGATCATGGTAGTCTCTCATGGTCTTCATCTTGAAGTGATCCCATACTTTCTGAGCTCTCTGGTAATCTTCTTCCTTCACCTCTGACTCATACAGTGACGAGTAGAACTTATCCTTGCTCGGAAGACCTTCTGTATTGAGTTTGCTAATATCATCGAGGAACTCATATGGGAACACTCCTTTTTGTGTCACTAGATTGAAGTCCTCACCCTTCCACCTCTTACCTGCTATCCTGAAGTCCTCAGGTGAAAGGTTACTTACCAGTGCTTCCAGTGAAGAAGCCATGAACTGTATAGAGTCTATGAAGACCAGATTCTTACCCAGTGAGAATGAGATGTATTTTTCCATATTATTTGGAATCACATTAACATCCATCTTGAACTTACCAATTTCCTGCATAATCAGATGACTATCATAACCTCTCAGGTTGTGGAAGACCACAGGTACTTTCCATGTAATTCTGTACTTAAGATTGCATATATTGTGAGCAGCTCCGCGGTACTTACCTGTTACATGGTCATGGTCTCTCACACGGTCCTCACATAGATCGTAACCACATATGTGGCAGTTTCTTGTAACCAGGAATTCTGCTTCCTCTTTGGGTGTAATTACCATTTTCTTCCTGAATATTTTGTCAGTCATTTCCCTACATCTGAAGGACTCTTTTACTACAGTCTTTAGGAAGACCAATGCAGCGTCACTTCCAACGTAACTCTTATACTCACCGGAGTACTTATCATCATAGTGGCAGACTGTTTTCAAACCAAAACTACAAGCCTTGTGTGTCTGGTAAAGGTCCGTACTACTTTCATCTTCAGGGTTCTCTGACTTCTCTTTTCTCTCCTCTGGTACTAGTATGGACTCAAAATCGGCGTATATCACAAACGGCACAGGCATTGAGTTCCTATGATTTTTGCACTTGATTTTTGTCCCTTCCTTGGGAAGTATTACAGCCTGAGTTCCATTTACCTCCAGACATGTTTCCTTATGCTTCTCCAGTACCTCTTCACTCACACAACTGTGAAGACAGTGTAGACAGAAGTGTTGCTTATGTGCATGTTTACTTACACTGAAGAGCATCCTGTTTACATCCTTTATGAGCACATAATGGTTGTTACTTTCACCATCACCTAGGAGTAGAAGTTCCATATGATCCTCGTATTTAGCCTTGGAGTTTCTTATAGGGTAGAACTGTTTCTTACCCTTATAACCAAACACAGATATGCTGATACTGTTTTTCCTCTCAATTCTATCAATGTCACTTATCTTCACGGGGAAGTCTATACCGTCATAGTCCAGGTTCGTTATGAATTCCCTATCTTTTTGTGTGATAGTGGTTGCTCTTCTGGCCTTAGGATTCAGATGTCTCACATGACTCCACAGGAAACACAGGTTGTCATTGTTCTTCATATTGATGAGCCCACACATTGAATTACTAATGTCCTTAGGAAGTTCCATGTATGAACTACCCTTTAACGGTTTGTACATTGCAATGTTCACATAATGACTCTCAATATTGAGTATAATCCAATTTGAACCTAGGTTTTGGAAGGTTTCAATCCTAGACAATATTGTCAGTTGGTTTTGAGCAGCTGTACTTTCAATATCCTCGAAGTTAGTTGCAGTACCAGTCTTAGATTTGAAGTAGACTGAGTCCTTCTTGGTTTTCCCGTCACCGATTTCCTTTGACATTCTCACCTTCAGAGTCTCTGTGTACTTCAACCCACCCATTCTCTTCAACTCGTTCACAAGTATTCCTCTCACTACCTGTCTACTTGCAGTCATCTGGTCCAGAGGGTCCATATAATGAGGAGTTATCGAGTAAGTCACAGCGGCTCCATTTGCAGCTGTTTCGATTTTCCTATGGAATGGCTTTTCAAGATCTGTTCCAAATGGATCGATTTCTTGTTCCTCTGGTGTAACCACTATAGGCTGCTCCTTGGCTTCTCTCGACACTCTTACAGGCTTACGGACCTTAGGAGGAGACACTGGTTTCCTAGTCCTAGGTTTCGGTACAGGTCTTTCCTTAAGAAGCTTAGTTCTGGGTTTTGGTACAGGCCTTTCCCTAGGAAGTACCGTTCTAGGCTTAGGTATCGGTCTCCATGGAGCTACACCCTTAGGTACCTCAGGAGCTTTCCTCGCGGGTCTCTTATTAAGATCCACATGAATTGTAAACTTACCTGGACCTGTTGGAGTTATGACACTATCTGCAGGCACTGAGAGTTTTACCTTCCTCTGATTCAGGAATCTTTCTGCTACAGTTTGCTTTCTAACCTTAGCATCAGTCTTTACCTTTGGTGGTCTGCCTCTCTTCTTTGGCGCCTTCACTTCAGCATCAACCTTTGCCTGTGGTGGTCTACCTCTGGGACGCTTTACCTTAGGATTCCTTTCGTTTTCGATTCTCTTAATTTCCTCATTAACAAGAACATCGTCTGTACGCCATCTACCTCCCATTGTCGGTGGCAGTCCTTGAACTCCCTTAGACAGTAAGCTCTGGTATGCTTCCTCTACAAGTAAAGCCTTAGCCTTTTGCCTGTCAGAGTACTTCCACGTTGGCATAATTCCTCTTCTACCCTTGTAGTTCTTAGGTATGCGTCTTGGTTTCTTTGTTTCCATATCACGGTCAACTTCATCTACAAATTGTCTTTCTCCCTGGAATGGACTTTCACCCTTATCATCAGGAGTGATCCTGTAGTTCCTATCCTTCAGAATGTCTTCTACTCTTGCATCCATATCCTCATCACTGTCTATGATACTGTTGAGAGCCAAAAGTTGTTCTACGCTGAATTCGTTCGTGTTAAAGTAACTCGCCATATTTTCTAACAGTTTCTATATACTATATATGTAAAAATAAATTCGGGTATTTAATTAATTTATTTCGAATTTATTTTTGACTTAATTTATTTGTATTTTATTTTTAATTTATTGTTTAATTCTATTGATTTATTATATCAGTATATCTTTAAGTGTTTTTATTTTTAATTTATTGTTTAATTCTATTGATTTATTATATCAGTATATCTTTAAGTGTTTTTTTATTTATTGTTTAATTCTATTGATTTATTATATCAGTATATCTTTAAGTGTTTTTATTTTTGATTTAATTTATTGTTTAATTCTATTGATTTATTATATCAGTATATCTTTAAGTGTTTTTATTTTTGATTTAATTTATTGTTTAATTCTATTGATTTATTATATCAGTATATCTTTAAGTGTTTTTATTTTTGATTTAATTTATTGTTTAATTCTATTGATTTATTATATTAATATTTCTTTAAGTGTTTTTACTTTTCCAGTTATTATAATATTCACATTTCTCAGGTTTCCATCCAAGCTCAACAAAAACTTTCCCATACAACCTATCCTCAAGGATGTCCACAATCCTTTGAGTCTTAATATCCTCAGGAGGGTTCCTCAAAGATATACCATTCATACTAGCTATCCTCAGTAGGTAAAACTTGTATCTGACTATGTTGCGCCCCCTTTGCAGTCTAAGTCTTTGTATACATCTTACGATGCTTCTAAACTGCTGCTCCCTTATGATGTCCCTATCCCTAGAAGCGACATGTTCGAATAAGTGTCTCTCGAACCAACGGACTCTATTGTGACAAGACTTCTTCTTCAGATAGTCGTCCTTGTTGTAGTCGTAACTAACGTAGTATGAGAAGTTATTCATATCACTGGCACCACACTGTGTGCATGTATCTGCTCCATCTATCATTACAATAGACTTACTTCCACATTCGCTACATATTGGATCATATGTGTGTTTTCTCTTTATTCTACTCTCTGCGTGCTTCCTCACAGCAGCCTCTAACTCTTCCACTGTATTTACCCTTTTACCTACATGTGCTATCTCCTCAGGTGTTGCCATCTGTAACCATTCCATTTCCCTATACTTATAGGTGTGAAAATTTTTATGGCATTTTCTATAGAATTAAATAAGCTAACCCACCCACTGCTCCAACTGCAACTAAACCAAAGATTGCCATATATTCTTCCATTTCAGAGCTAGGTTTGTAGTGATTACTTAATTGTGGCTTCCTTGGCATAACCTTACGTGTTAACTCATTGATTCTTCTGACGAGTTCTAGTGACTGGTTCGTTGACTTGATATCCCTATTTGCCTCAGCTAGTTCTGACTTTAGCTGAGCAATCCTATTTCTCCTATCAGTGACCTCTTCGAGGTACTTTTCTCTTTCAGCTGTAAGATTCTCCATTGCAAGGTTATGTCTTTTAGCCTCCTCAGCGTATCCGTTCCTATCAAACATTTTAAATAGGTATCCTGCTCCCGCAAATGCAAATGCATTAAAGAGTCCTCCTGCTACTGCCCCCGCCATTGTATAGTTTTACCTAGGTTTTGAATGGATCATCTGGTAGATACTTCTTTTCTTTCAGGTAAGAGACCAGTAGAGATGAAAGACTAACTGATACGGCTAACTTTACCATTCCTTTTACATTCTCTGGGGTGCCTAAGGGTTCTTTCAATAGTTTCTTTGATGCCATTGATATACCAACTGCTCCTGCTGTAAGTAACACTGCGTCGTACACTTCCCTAGTCATCTTTGATTCTTTACTCATCTTGCTATAATATATGGTATGTTTAGTGTATCATTCAAGTGAATCTAACTTGGACTCATCAGCTCTCTTAGTTACTTCTACAGTTTTAGGGATGTACTCAGGTTCTGGTTCCCTAGTTTCCCTCTGATGGGTCTTATACGCTAGTACAAGAGATATCAATGCAATGGCCACTCCTATGTAGGTAATCATACTGTCATTACTATGTGACTCATTAGGTTCAGCCTGTTCTTTTTTCTCTCCTTTGCTATTTTACTGATTGCAGCAAGTCGTTTCCCTGCCTCTACTCTTCTAGGGTCCTTCTTCTTTTCGCTTGTTACTGGTACTTGAATTTGCTCAGGTTTGTCTGCCATTTTACTTGTAAGATACCTTAGGTTTAACTGGGTTTCATCTTATGAGATATCTTGAATTCTACTTGTGAGATAACTTGAATTTACTTGCAAGATAACTCAAATCTACTGGTAAGATAACTTAAATCTACTGGTGAGATAACTGGTGAGATAACTTGAATTTACTTGCAAGATGTCTCAAATCTACTTGGCAGTATGATGGAACTGCTTAAAAAATACCCGACAGTAGTTGCCGAGCATTTTCTAAGTTTCATTCCTTCGCTTCCCGTTTCCACTCTAGTACTTACCTACTGTGTAACCAATTTGTCGAATTACGACTTCCTTACACTTACTATCCTTTAGAGTCTTGCACTTTATCTTAAGATTCTTTATTTCCCTTAGAAGTTTCTTTGTCCTATCAACCCTGAAGTACTCCTCTATATCTAGCACTATCTTTGTGTAATCGTTAGATATTAGCGTCCGGTATCCGGTTTTTCCCAGCTCCTTTATCCGTGACGCCTGGTTGTCCCTGACTTCACCTGTACCCTTCGGGCTCTTGAGTTCTATTGCGAATCCGTGGAAACCATTACTTGGAGTTACTATTGTGAGATCAGGCTGTCCACCCATATATCCCTTCCTCCAAGCGTCGCATCTCTTTTGCGATGTATCCTGGTACTCTCCTAGTCCTGGTAAGATTAGAGCTTTTGGGTGGTACTTTTTAAGATATTCTACAACAGCATAATGAAGGTCCGTTTCATTAATTAGCTTCATCTGTTTACAATAAAGCGGCTCAGATTCTGGTAATTTGTATGAGCCTATTTTGCGGATCGATGGAAGGACCCAGCCCTGAAACTCTTCTGCTATCGGAAGTCTGGAATTACAAACCAGTTGGTACAAACCCGGTTCGTATAGTAAAACCGTATCGGGATGACTTTTTTCCATGGTGAACGAATCGGTAACCCTTTGGAACTCCCCCACCGTTGTTCTGTTTGTTTTCCATACATGGTCTCTAACAGCTTTCTGCGGGTTTGTGTACCCTAGGGATTCCGCCACATCCTTTGCATAGAATAGCACCTCCTCACCACTCTTAACGATTCTCACACTAACATTCAACTTCGGATTCCTAAATAGTTTCTCCATCTTCCCTATACTATGTGTGTAAAATTTTTTGAGCTATTTTATTCATCAATTTATTTTGGAGCAGCATTCCCCTAGCTCACCCAGCTGCTCCCCACTACTGTATGCTTCCCACTACAAAAAATTTTATTTGCCTAATGCATTTCATTTAGGTTCTTGTATATACCTACAATTTTTTTAATTGTATCATTTTGAAAAGCTTCGGAGTCGTACTTTAGTGAATCCAAGGTTGCCTGAATCTTATCCAGCTGTTCCCTGTTTTTATCAGTTTTCTCAATCAGTTCATCGATTACGGCTTCAAATTCTGTTCCTTCCCAGGCATTTCCCCAGTCGTATGGTTCTCCAAGCTGTGACATTCTGTATGTAATAGAAGATGTTTAGTTTCTTCGGACACTTCCTCAGGTTCCTCCTTCTTATTCCACTTATGGGCAACTACATGTTTAGCTGTTGTACAGCCACCGGATATTAGCCCTATGAATGGTATGTTGGGGGATATCGTTCTGGTTAGATATGCTACATCATCCTTCAGAAGCTTGTCACTAAGTAGTTCCTCCGATAGTTTCTCTGAAGATTCCACCGCACCGAAACTTCCCAGTACAGAAGCAAACTTTGAGATAATAAGCGTTGATAAGAAGTCACTTGCACATGACATCCTTTGACTTTCATACTCATGGTACAGTCTATCTACAACATCCTTGTTAGACTTTCTTATAAAACTTGCGGGCTTCTCTATTATACCGTCCCTAGATAGCTCTATAAGCTTGTCCCTTTTATGTTCAGTTTGCGACTTATCTGCGGTAGACTTAGCTTTTCTTGCGGTAGACTTAGCTTTTTTCTGCGACACCTTTGCGGCCTCCTCTACTTCTCTCACAGCCTCAAATACCTCTTCCTCAGATTCGGTTCCCATCATCTATATGTTACGATGTGTTTAGTTTAACAGTGTATGTGTAAGGGTGAATAAGTAGTACGTCTAGTGCGGTGAACTTTTCAGCTTTTAATATTTTCGTAATCTCTGTAATTGTCTCCTGAGGAACGCCACTTAGGTAATCATCTGTTATCACCTTCATATCCCTGCGATTAGGGTTGTAGAATGTAACTAGCCTGGAAATGTTCTCTCTAAAGGGCTTTGCTACTGATGACAATTGTTGGGTAAGTACAATGACAGATAGGTTGTAATGTCTTGCGGAGAAAGCTAGGCGCACCAGTTCTGAGACTCTTTTCTTTACATCTTGACTTGCAGCACAATCGTCCACTATAATGAGAGTCTGAGTACCGCGGAATATGGTGGACACTGCCTTGAGAACAAGATCGATCATTTCTTGTGAGCATGGAATTTGAATAACCCCGTGATCACTAATATGAGTCCAATTAATGTAAGTCATATTCCACTCTATGGTCGGACATACAATGACAATGTAATCGAATACTCTATTGTACTCTGTTTCTAACATATTAAGTAGGAACTGAGTTTTACCACTTCCAGTCATTCCTACTATGAGCATGTTGAATGGGGGCTTAAGTTGTTGCATCTCTATGCTTTACCATTAGTATTGCATACTTGATAGATCTCTATTGGCAAAGTTAAGGAGAGCATCTGATACAACAAAAATGTTGCATTGAACGTCAGCTGTTGTGGCTCTCTTTTTAATTTCCAGGAGTACTCCCGACTGTGTGTTAACTATCTTCTTACCTCCACCAGTGGTATCATCTTGTGTTGACCTAAGATCGATTACTAGAGCGAAACCATTGCCAAAGAACTTACTGATGGACATAAATTCGTCTGCCATTGATTTCTCACACATAGGGCAGAAGAATCTTTTTGCCTCTTCGAAGAACCTATTTTTAGGAAGTCCTTGGGAGAAGACTGCATTAGGCACACCTTCAATGGTCAGGTTCACTTTATCAATGTTTGGGTAAATATATTCTTCAGAATCAGTTCTCACTCTATTGGTAAATAGAAGGACAATCGCTGACATGCTCTTTCTGGGGATATTGATGTTCTCATTGACAATGGTAAGATCTTTGTCCCAATTACTTGTGCGCATAAGTGTGACGTGTTTGTAGGACAGTGAGCGACCCGTTGAATACATCCTTGATACTTCACTCGCAAGGGAGTCATTTTCAATGGTCTCGTATTCTAACTCAAGATTATCGAGTTTATAGCCATCTACTTGTTCACCTCCTTGGGCAGTCATAATCTCATCTGATTGCGGGAGTGTGAGGATGTACATAGGATTGTTATTCATGGAGAACGGTGTGTAGAGCCCATGATCTGCAATTATCTTATCAATTGGTTTTTTCAGCTTAGAACCGTACACACTGTGGAGGAGTGCATCTGCTACTTTACCAGCATCACCTACTTTTACTCCTGAGTCGTCGCCTGATATTAACTTCCTGAGATTCTCACTTGCAAGACCCTGTTCTGTCATCTTTTTCCTGTCACCTACTGTTAGCCATAGATCTTTGTATATTTCGTACAAACTCTCTCCTGAACAGTCATAAGCTGTTTCACCGGCTACTTTAACCTGGAGGCGCTTAGCTATCAACTTAGACAGGTTGTTATTAAATCGGCTCTTTGTATTGGAATTTTTGAAGTCAAATAATAGTGCAAACGATCCTGGGACTAAACAAGAGTCAGGCTTTAGTTTAGGGATGTTAATGTACAGCTCTTCGCCTGGGCTAATAGTTGTTGGATTAAAAGTTACAACACTTCTAGTTCTGGGACCTTTTACGGATGTCATACGGCTCCTCCTGAAGCCAGGTTGGAGTTCTCTTTCTGTGGTATTCATACTTGTATACAATATGTAATGTTTAGCTGTATTTGTATAGTAAAACTACTGCTGCACATACAATGATTATCCATATATTATCCGCTGCTAACTCTACTCCATCGGCTATTTTCTGAAATACAGGTGGTAGTTCTATTTGGTGGTTTACCAACTCACTGATCCGCTTATCGAGCTTTTCTGTTGTGTCACCTACTTTCCACAATATGTTTCTAGTTGATGCTACCAGTCCTATGATTACAGCTGATGAGGAAATTAGAACAGCTGATAAGATGCCTGCATTCTCCCTTGCCCATAACCTGAGCCTCTGCAGTCTCCTACGATCATCCCGTTTAATGAGATCCCTCTTTTTCACCTTATCTCTTAAGGTGAGAAGTTTATTTAAGTTTGACTCTCTTTGGTAATCATTTGATAGCATTCTGACGTATCTCAGTTCCAATATTTTTCTCCTCCTCAGTTCCTGTACGTAATTAATTTCCTCGTTAATATCCTTGTCAAGGTACGGTAATTCGCTATCTAAAGTTTCTATATCCATTTCTTCATAGTCTGGATACTTTTCCTTCAACTCCTCCATTTTCTGGTCATCGTATTCCTCTTGGTGTTCCTCCATTGCTACTTTACTTTGTGTAATGGTTGTATACCATTAAGGCTGCAGCTATAGCTAGTACCCATAAGTGTGACGCTAACCAAGCAATTCCTTTGGCTCCCCATGATAGCGCCGTTGCGATGGTGTTCAGAATTGGAACTAGAATTGGTCCTGCTTTCTTTGCTAAATTTGCTAATGCTTTTGCTACTTTACCAGTGACCTTTGCTGTCTTCACAATGGCTCCCCTAGCATGTATTAATAAGGCTGTAATTAAACTAGCTGTTGACACTGCTATCCCTGGAAGTCCCACTTTTTCCTTTCCTACCCAGTCTATAAATCTGCGTAATCTATAAATATCTTCCAACTGTGCCTCTCTTGCTTTCTCTACAGTTCTCTGCTCTAGTGTTCTATCCCTAGCTTCCTTCAAACTGTCAATTCTTTCTATAAGAGCATTGTACTCAGTTGTACCTTCCGCAGAGGTGGCTCGTTCCACGGTTTCACCAATAGCTTCATTAAAGTAGTCAGCCTGAATTTGTAACGCCCCATTGGGACCTGTTCTGCCTTCTATGCTTGATCCATCAGGTGGGTTAAGAACACCTCTCAGTTCATTGTTTTCTTCCATTGTTAGCCCTGGAAGGTCTCCTAGTTTTGCACCTACGTCTATTAACTCAATGTTCTCGCGGTCAGCAAATTCCTCATCACTGGTATCAAATTGGGGCTCTTCTCTGGTGTCCTCGTAAATTGATTCATTACTTCCAATTCTATCGTCAGGATCTATGGGGACCTGCTTGATTTTCTTCATAAGTTCCTTATATTCTCTCAGGGCAGGTGAGTTCTTTGAGTACACTGGAATCTTGGTCTTACCACGTTTCATTATCTGGGTACCACCTCTGTCAATACCTTGTTCACTTCTAAATACCAACACCTCTGTGCCATCATTGAGTGTTCTGACAGATGATCGTTTTATGAGTTCCCTGACGTATCTATTCTTAGGGTCCAGCAGTAATTTCTCCTTACCCTTGATAACTCTTGTGACAGCTTGAACACGCTCTACCTGGTTTTCGAAATCTCTCTTTTTATTTGCTGTTGAAATCTTATTTAGTTTCTTTAGGCGGGCTTCTATTTCATCCCAGTCAGCGTCAAATGATTCGTTGAATGCATCTAGCACATCTGGAAGTACATTGCTTGGGTCTTCCACGAAGTCGACTCCTTGAACGGTTGTGCTTCCTGATGGACCGGAGATGTTCACTGTACCATCATTTCCTTCGGTGAAACTTGTTTCTTCTATTGCACGTCTCTCCATGAGATTCCTTACATAGTCTAGTTCACTTTTAAGATCAGTTATTACTAAAGGGTCATCACCATACATAGCCTCTCCCTTCATCTTTGTATCTAACCTACTAAAAGCTGTCGTTAGGTCATCATAATTGAGGTAGTCATATTGAGGATACGTCTTTTCTGTCTCCTCCAACTCAATGTCATCGTAGTCCTTGAAGTCCTCCATAATACTTTAACTTATGTTAGGGACTTGATGTCTCCAGCTGGTATCCAACTGTTAAATTTGTCGTCATAACCTAACCACTTAACTAGGGCCATCTTTTTACCCTTCACTGTTCTTCTCCTTAATACTTTCTCTATTCTAAAATCAGGTTCTCTTCCTTCAGCGCTATACAGTTCTTGTTCATAGAATCTACCAATTATTGGTTCATCAGCACTGTCTTTTATTGTGTACGTGTTTGGATGGCCGTGATACACTTCCGTCACAGTGAACAACTCCTCTGTGAAATTTGCTTCGTACCCTTTTGTGAACACTGATTTGTACTTTGAGATCCTGACACTTTCTCCGACAGCAAACTTTGGTTCTGACGGCTTGCCTAAATTGTGACTAAAAAGTGTCTTCCATACTTCAGTCCAATTGGACTCATTTACACTGTCCGGTGTTGTTTTAATTGATCTGTTCACTGAACTGTTGTAATTATCAGTTAAGTCCTGAAGAACGTCTAACCATTTATATGTACTGGCACTGTAAAAGTACTTCAACATTAGCGCTTTTAGTGTTCTGTTAAATCTTTCCACAACTGCGGCCTTTTTATCTGAGTAAGTAGAGAAAAACTCAATGCTATGTTTATTGAGCAATGACTTTACATCTTTGTTGTAGAACTCTGTGCCTTGATCAAACTGGGCGAATTTTGGGTATTGACCAAAACGATTATTAAATTGCTCTAAAATGTTACTGACGGCGTCCTTCATTGATGTCGCGTTTTTCCTATACACTGGTACTGTGAATGCGTACCTACTTAGTATTTTAATGGATGTGAGAAACCAGCGGTATCCCTTGTTCTTGTCGTCATATTTTGTCGTGTCAACTAAATCCATTTGTAACTGCTCACCTAAAGTTTGGACGTACGTCTGTCTAAACTTATGTTTCCTAAACACTTGTCTGTACCTAGTGTATGTGTCTTGCTCATTTATCCATTTCTTGACCTGGTTTCTGGTTACTTCAAGTCCGTCTGATACTGCTCTAAGATATAGTTTCTCTGGTGTTTGAAATCCAGTCTTAGGATTGTAGTAAATATCTCGTAGTCCTTGTTCTTTCATAATATCATCGTCCATCTTATATTAACTAATGTAAGCCACCTACTCAAGGTACATCACGATAAGCACTTCACCTATATCAATAGGTTTCCCGTCTTGATCTGTCATGTGGAATACAAGTTCTGAGAACGAACCCTTAACAATTGAAGTCCTGCTTTCAACATCAATGTAACTAACTACCGAGCCCAGTAATGGTCTGTCTGTTGGAATTGTAATACCTGTTATTACATCGCTGGGTCTTCCCCAAGGGTTAACGTTGTAACTGCTACTAACTAGATTACAGTGTATATTTACGTACCGTAGACCGTTGTTGAAGTCAACTTTGCTATCACCTACCAAACTCCTCCCTTTCAGTAGGATCATAGGATTGGAAAATCTATTAAAACCTAACATGGTCAGTAATCGTGTTTCTATTGTGATATCTTGTTTTACTGCTTCTATTTGACATTCTGCTGTTTCGGCAAAGTAGGTTAGCTTAACACCATATCTTTGAAGTAACTTTTTCATACTGTCAAATGTGTAGTAACCTTTATTAACAATTACATCAGATTCTCCATCATCTGTTTTCACTTTGGAATAGTTGTTGGTTCCCTTATGTTAAAGTACTCCCAGAATACTGATACTCTCTTCACAAAGACTGATTTATAGTTGCTTGTTAGAACTGAGTTCTGTAGTGATACAACTGTGTGCGAGCTCTGCAGTAAAATTGTGAACTTCATCTTAATAACATACGTTAGGTTATTAAGAATGAGACTAGGTGAAGGACAAGTTGGTAAGTCGCCGTATCGGTCGTACCAAGACTATGAAAAAAAGTATGGAAAGGAAGACGATCAAGATCATGTTGATCCTGTTGCCGGTAAAAAGGTAGAGGACGCTGAGAGGGCTAGGTTTATGGCAAGTTATCCTTTGGCAGATATGAGAAGATTTAAATTTGAAGCTATGACTACAAGTAGTGGTGATATTGGTGTTGTTACATGGTTTGTGGATTTAGATGGAATTACGTCTTATGACATAAGATACGATGGATTTAAGGGGGATAGAGAATACACATCATACCTCACATCTATGAAACCCAAGGTGGTGGCACCTCCCCTGAAATCAAAAGGATGGCCACATCTTTGGAATAGTAATGGCACCGTTCAAAAATATGAACCTCTTGTCTTTCCAAAGGATCCTATCTACGACGAGAGAAAGTTGGGTCTCAGTCGAGTTCTGGTTCATGATGATGGCTATCATATTAATGCATATCGACCTCCCGTAAGTCTTCCCTACAACTTTAACAACTTTAAGATCTATGTAAATGAAAACAGTTATTTCATGTCTAACTTCCCTGATGCTGGTGTAGGTTGGGATGAAGGTCCTAATTTAACTAATAAGGATGTAAGAAAGGTTTCCTTCAATACAATACCATACACTAGAATGTTGTCTGGCGCCTACATAGCTAGCTATCTCAGCGGTGTATCCCTAGAACACGTTCGTGAAAGTAATTCCGTTCCTAAAATAATAACATCCATTATGAGGTATCATCTTTACTACACAACTAGAAAGTTAACAGTCAGTAAGGATGCTATTGATAAACTTGGTGTTAACCTTGATATTGTAAGGAAACACACTCCAATAAATCAGAATTATATTATTGATGAAAGTGGTGCTACAACTAGTGCAGGACCTTTGTTTGGTAGTGATTACCTTTCATTCATAGCTGAAAAAAGCAATGGCTTTACTAAGTTGGGTGTTGAGCTTATCCAGGAAAGCATTGAGTCCTATGTGTACGCTATGCTGGGATCTCAAGCTAATACAAGGTGGTCAATAGAAGGAAACGGTCCAAAGGCTCTTCAAACACAACGTGACTTTAGAACTATTGTGAAGTCTACTATTTTACAAAGTAATACGGTAACAACAATTAGCAATATGAGGAAAGCTGTGAGGGACACCAATGTGATTCTAAACACTGCTCTATCCCCTGGAATAGTCCTAATCCCATCGAACTTTATTATTCTTAAAACTCCGATTCTCGGTTATAATAACCTTCTAAAGACGGCAACTAATACAATGAAATTTGGGGTGAATCCTAAGGTAAATTATGTCGGTGTTAAGCAAGTTGATCCTCCAAAGAAACAGCGTCAAAATAGCACACCAGTTCACCACCTTGATACTCTTAGTGGAAACACGAAAGTTCCGGGGAGTCCTGCAAGTGTTGCACCTCAGGTTGTTCCTAAGACTAGCACACCTATCGCGCAGCGTGAGTTCTTAGGTGATGGTGCTTTAGCTGGACTTGGTATCGGGTCTGTTGCTGTGTTTCTTATATTGAGAACTGTTCTGTGAAACATTGTGTATGTTATAAAAATGGCTCTCTATCGGGGATACAACAAAGGAGTAAATAAAGTTGACCC